CAGACCCTTCCTCCGGTCCTGTAGTTGCACGTAGCTCCACTACTCTCCCCTATCCGGCGGTTCCCTCAGGCTCCCTTATAGGCCTGCACATCCCCTCGTTCTCTAGGAACCTAGTTGGTGTCGGCTGCCTCCAGGACCTTGGCGTCACCACTACGTTCCCTAGGCACGAGCGGTACGCTGTCTGTACTGAGGTCGCCACTGGTGCCCCCCTCACCACGTTCCCCCAGGACCTGGTGTCTGGCTTGTTCAAGCTGGACACCGCTTCCCCCCCGGTTGGGACGCCTCCCCAGGTACCTGCGTCTTCCCAGGTTGCTGCGGCGTGCTCGTGTCGGTCGCTTACTCACCCGTCCCTTCTGTGGCACCACCGTCTAGGTCACGCCGCCCTCACCCGTCTCAGTCACATGTCCCAGCACCGACTTATCCTAGGCCTCCCTGAGTCGTTCCCTGCGCTCCCCTCCTCACCCGCGCCTCCGTGCATGCCCTACATCGAGGGCCGGCTCCGCCGTGCCCCTCACTCCTCCTCGTTCCCCCCTACCTCCGCACCGCTGCAGACCCTGCACATGGACGTTTGGGGCCCCGCCCCCGTCCATGGGCCGCGTCGCGAGCGGTACTTCCTAGTGCTTGTCGACGACTACACCCGCTACACCACCGTCTTTCCCCTGGAGTGGAAGGCTGATGTGCCTGACGTTCTTCTCCCGTGGCTTGTCTCTACGCATGTTCACCGAGGTCTACCTATCTTGCGTCTTCACTCCGACCGTGGTGGCAAGTTTGCCGCTGGCTGCCTTGGTCGCTTCTGTCGTGCGGAGGGCATCACCCAGACGTTCACCCTGCCGGACTCCCCGCAGCAGAATGGGGTCGCTGAGCGACGCATAGGTTTGGTCATGGAGGTGGCTCGTACCTCCATGATCCATGCAGGTGCACCCCATTTTCAGTGGTCGTTCGCCGTTCGCTACGCTGCTCACCAGCTTAACCTCTGGCCGCACCCTCAGCGGTCGCAGGTTTAACCGACCCTCCTGTGGACCGGGTCCCTTGGTGATGCATCTGCGTTCCACGTCTGGGGCTGCCTTGCACACGTTCGTGCCTCTGGCACGGACAAGCTCACTGCCCGCACCGTCCCCTGTGTCTTCCTAGGTTTCCCCCTCGACTCGTCGGACTGGCAGTTCTACCACCTGCCTTCTCACCGATTCTTTCCTTCTCGTGATGTCACTTTTGACGAGCCTGTCTCCTTCTACCACCGCTTTCCCCACTGTGGTCCCCCGGTCACTCCCCCCCAGTTCCTGGTGCCCCCCCTCCCCCGGTCGACCTTGTCCACCCCCCTCCCCGCCCTGTCCCGTCTGGTGTGTCTCACGTCACCCCCCTCCCGTTGGTTGTCCCTGCTGAGGAGTCCGCTGACTCTCGTGGCTCGGCGGAGTCTCTTCCCCCTCCTGTCCCTGCCCCGGTCTCGCCTCCCCTGTAGCTGCTGCTGCTGTTCCCGCCGCAGCCGCCTGCGCCGCTGCCGCCGCTGGGGTTCGTGCCTTCTGGGGGTGCTAGGGAGCGGGCTGGAGCTGGTTCTGGAGCGGGCTCTGGGGGTGCTGGCGTGGGGCTTCTCGAAGGGAGCCGTGTTGTCGCTGGAGGTTTGGGTGTTGGAGTCGGGCAGCAGTCGTAGCTGTCGTCACCGGTGTCCGCTCGTCGCCTCCTCGGTCTCCCTTCCCCTGACCGCCCGTCGCTGCCTCCCCCGCTGCCATTACCTCCTAATCTGCCGGTCCACGGCCCCAAGTTTCCTCCCCCGGACTCCTCTCCGGCTCGTTTCCCTCCCCGTTCTCCTCCTGTGTCTCCTCCCCTCTCTCCTGACCCGACTCCTCCGTCTCACGTCTGGTCTCGTCGTCCGCCTCGTGCTCGTCCTACCTTTCCTGTTCCGCGTTCTCAACCTATGTTACTGCGCTCTCACACGTCTCGTGCTCCTCCTCTCCTCCCGTCTCCTCCTCCGTCGTCTCTTGCTGTGGCCCCGCCTCCATTCTCGAACTTCCTCCATGCTGCGCGTCCCCTTGTTCCTCGTGTCCTTGCCTCTCTCGTTACCGACCCGTCCGTTCCTGTCTCGAGTCTGTCGGCTCTTGTCGCTGCTGTCAATGACTTCGCCGCTACCCGCCGCCTGGACTACGCCACCGTTCTGGTCTCTGGCCGTGCTTGCCCTCCGACCATCAGTGGTGTGGCTGCTCTTGACAGGGACTTCCTAGAGGACAGGCAGTTCGAGCTCGCTTTCCTGTCTGAGGCCGCTCCCCATCTCTGTTCCATGCTACTAGTCCCTGAGGGTGACTCTGACGCCCTCGACATCCCAACCCTTCACACCTACGCTGAGGCGAAATCGGGACCCTGGTCCTCTCAGTGGATAGCTGCCATAGAGCAGGAGATGGCATCTTGGAGATCCACCGGTACCTTCGTCGACGCAGTCCCCCCACCTGGGGTGAACGTAGTTGATGGCCAGTGGCTCTTCAAGGTGAAGCGCCCTCCTCGAGAGCCGCCTTTCTTCAAGGCGCGCTACGTTGCTCGAGGCTTCAGTCAGCGTGAGGGGGTGGACTTCTTTCAGACCTTTGCCCCGACCCCGAAGATGACCACTCTTCGGGCGCTGCTACACGTAGCACCACAGCGTGACTACGAGCTGCACTCCCTCGACTTCTCTACAGCTTTCCTCCAAGGCAGTCTACACGAGCAGGTCTACCTGCGACGCCCCCAAGGCTTCTCCAGTACCTTTCCCCCTATCACCGAATGGCTCCTCCGGCGCCCCGTCTACGGCTTGCGACAGGCGCCCCGTGAGTGGCACAACACGCTGCGTGCTACACTTGGTGACTTGCAGTTCTTCCCTTCGTCGGCGGACCCCTCGCCCTTTGTCCGTTCCGGCCAAACTCCGTTTTACATCCTTGTCTACGTAGACGATCTTGTCTTTGCTACAGCATGCACAGACGCACTGGCCGCCGTGAAGGCCGAGCTGCTGAGGAGACACACCTGCACTGACCTAGGAGAGCTGCGTCGCTACCTTGGCTTGCAGATCTCCAAGGACAGAGCAGCGCGCACCATCACTCTCTCACAGTCACACTTGGTGCGCTAGGTCCTTCAAAGGTTCGGCCTTCAGTTCTCTTCCGCACAGCCCACTCCTCTGTCAGTAGACCACAGACTCTCTGCCCCAGTCCCTGAGGAGGCTGTAGAGCCTAGTGGTCCCTACGCAGAGCTGGTGGGTTGCCTCATGTACCTGATGGCTTGCACTCGTCCAGATCTCGCATACCCTCTCCGCATCCTGGCTCGGTTTGTGGCCCAAGGGAGACACTGATCACAGCACTGGTCGGCAGCTAAGAGGGTTTTGCGTTATCTAGCAAGTACATCGGGCATGGGGCTAGTGCTAGGAGGACGGAGACCAATGGTCCTTACCAGGCATACATACGCTTCTTGGGCAGACGCCGAGACTCTCAGGTCCTCACAGGGCTACTCCTTTAGCCTTGGTGCAGGTTCCATCTCGTGGAGCTCCACCAGTCCTCGTCTGTTGCCCAGTCTAGCTGTGAGGCTGAGATCTACGCAGGTGCCATAGCGGCACAGGAGCTCCGCTGGCTGACCTTCTTGCTCACCGACTTGAGTGAGCGGCCTAGCTCTTCCCCGGTTCTGTACGCTGACAACAGGGCCATGATCCTCTTGTGTCAGGAGCCACGACTTGAGGGCAGAACGAAGCATATCCACCAGCGGTAGCAGTGTCGCCAGGCTCGTGTAGTACACTTGGCCTCAGGTGCCAACACAGCTGATATCTTTACTAAGGTGCTTGCGCCTAAAGATCATCAGCGGCACTGTGTACAGCTAGGTCTCGTTCCTGTAGCCTCTCACTTGCTAGGAGCTTGATTGTGTACAGACCTTTATATATATTACCTTGACTGGCCTTGTGGCCTCTTCCTAGTGGTTGGACTAGTAGTGCCACCCTGGTCTTGCTCTTGCCTTGTCTGTACTTGTTTGACTGGTCTTTAGACCCCTGCCTCAGAGGCTGGACTAGTAGTGCCACCCTGAGCTGTTACTCTCTCATTGGGCACTGCCCCTATCCAGTCTAGGGGGTGTGTCAAAGATATATTGTATGTTTTTGTAGACTAAATAGGGTTGTGCCTTAGGGAGTACAACCCATTAGGTTATATTCCCTTGTGCGCCTTGTTCTAATCATTCTTTCTCTTGAACAAGCACCTTGTCTAGCTAAGGTAGGATTTAGGCTAGCTAGGAGGACGAGTTAGGTGCAGGAAAAAACCTGGCTAAGAGCGAATGACTCATCAAGAATAAGGAAGAGCCACCGTGGAACAAGCAAACCCCAGCAGGGGTGCATTCTCAGCCCTTGAAAACGGCCCATTACAGGTTGGCAGTTCTCCATACGTGTCAATTCAATATCACAGCAAGGGAAGTGTAACATAAGCGGAAAAGAAATGCGTTACTAGTCCATAAATGCTATTGCTATACATAGACTCTAGGTATTTTCTGTAGTTTCGAAATCGCATGTAACTTTAGGAATTACATCTACTGAACTAATTATTTTTGCCATAAAATCATTCGTTTTAACAGCCCTAATACAGTGACAAAAAAATATGATGCAAAATTGGTGGGAGTCATCACTTGTACTTCGCCCCTTGTCACAAAACTGGTGTACGCCTTCGAAATTTTGCTCACTGGAGTGTACAACGGAGCTGGGGAGTTCCACTCACAAAATATCCCCTCTTGTTCAGGCGAATGGGGATGGGCCACCAGCGACGCATCCAATGCAAACCCGCCACTTCATATCGCAGCAGCTTTGCCGTACGATGGCTGCTGATTCTCAAGATTCAGAAACAAGAACCGTCGGATCCTACCTGTACCTGGCAGATCATGGCATCGGTTTCTCTCCATGTGACTGTTCCACCACCCTCGGTTTCTCCTCCTCGCCCAAGCCCAGGCCAGCCCAGATCTCTGGCACACCCTAGCCCAGCCCAGCCCAGATCTCTGGCACGCCCAAGCCCAAGGCGAGCGCAAAGGGAAGAGTGCAGGAGGGAGCAATCTGTCCACACAGGCAGCCTCCGCCCACCCGCACTTCACTCCCATTCACCTGCTGCTCGCCTTGAGCTGCATTCATTGCTGCTGGATCTCGCCACACTTGCAGCAGCTCCGCCAGAGAGTCGACGAGAGCGCATCGCGTCAGATCCGCCTTCGCTTATCACTTAACGCGCGGTTCTTCCCGTCAGTCCGACCACTCGCCATGACGTCCAGGTCGTCTGCCATGCGATCCGTCGCTCTCAAGGGCGCGAGCCTCCTGCTCGGCTCCCGCGCCCAGCCCCGCCTCTCCCCCGCCATCCATGCCGCCGCCGCCGCCGCCACCGCTCCCGCGCGCAACATCACGTCCGTCGCCGCCGCCGCCATCCCCGCCGCGTCCGACGAGACGCCGATCCCAGTCGACATCGCCGTGCCGTTCAAGGGCCACCGCATCGAGCCGCCTTCGACTTCCGTGACGACGACCCCCAAGGAGCTGATCAAGTTCTTCTTCGACATGTTCCTCATGCGGCGCCTCGAGATCTCCTCGGATTCGCTCTACAAGGCGAAGCTGATCCGCGGGTTCTGCCACCTGTACGACGGGCAGGAGGCGGTGTGCGTGGGCATGGAGGCGGGCCTCACGTACGACGACTGCATCATCACCAGCTACCGCGACCACTGCACGCACATTGGCCGCGGGGGGACGGTGCTGGAGGTGATTGCGGAGCTCATGGGGCGCGTGGCGGGGTGCAGCAAGGGCAAGGGCGGCTCCATGCACATGTACAACAAGGCCACGAATTTCTACGGCGGGAACGGGATCGTCGGCGCGCAGACACCGCTGGGCGCGGGGTTGGCGTTCGGGCAGAAGTACAGCAATGTGCCGGGGGTGACGCTCGCCATGTACGGCGACGGCGCGGCGAACCAGGGGCAGCTGTTCGAGGCGATGAACATCGCGGGGCTGTGGGATCTGCCAGTCATCTACGTCTGCGAAAACAACCACTGTGAGTTAGACGAAGCGGCTGCTGCGGGCCTCTGCTGCTTAGATGGGGGCGATCTTTTTAACTTGCCGGACAAGATTCGATCTTTCTTATGTTGCTGCATTCCTCACGCTTTTCGTATCGCTCGCCGAAAGGCGCATATGTTCTTCATTTCCGCGCCGTCTTCCCTTCAACGTTCCTGTCTGGGTGCGGCAAGCAGCGCAGAGGAGGGCTCCACGTGCGAGCTCTTGCCGACCAGAAGCGGGACGACCTTGTAGTGGACCGTTTCCAGTCCGTCTCCACGTCTCTTAACGATCTCCTTGCACCATCCTTGCTCCTTCCCCCCTTCCCCCTCCGCCCCTCCCGCCACACCACCTCCGCCCCCCCTTTCCCCCCTTCCCCCCTCTCCGCTGTTTCCGCCAGACGGCATGGGCACGGCGGAGTGGCGCGCGGCCAAGAGCCCCGAGTTCTACTGCCGCGGTGACTACGTCCCTGGCCTCAAGGTCAGCGCCGAGCCTGGGATGCGAGGGTGGTGAGAGGTCGGGATACGGGAGTGGGCTGAGGTTACAATGCGGGGGAGGGATTTGAGGGTGGCACGCGAGGCTTCCAGAGTTGAGAGCTATATCGTACCCGTCGTGTGCTGGTGGATTTGGAACCAGCTCAACGATCCGCGAGGCGGTGATCACGGTCGTTAGGTAGCGGTATCGACGAACGTCAGCGTAGGCATGCCCTCGACGCTCATCAGCAGCAAGCTTCCCATTAGGGTAACCGTCGTGCCATGCAACACTCTCATTTTTCGCCAGGATCGCACAGAACGGTTCGAGATCTTTCTCTGGCGGCGGCCGTTCTGGGCGTCGATGTCCTTGGGTGCCTGTGAGCGGTAGTAGCTTGCGGGCTCACGCAGTGGCTTGCGTGCGCCCCTCCCCTTGCGCCCGGCATCCCCCAGGTGGACGGCATGGACGCGCTGGCCGTGAAGCAAGCCGTGTCTTACGCCAAGGCCCACGCGCTCAAGAACGGACCCATTGTGAGTCTCTCTCCTGCCTCCGCCCACTCGCACGTACACACCCACACCACCCCCCCTCCCACCCTTTCACGAATCCTCACTCCGGTCTTACGCCCCGTGCTGCTCTTTAGACTCCTCCCCCATGACGCCCTGCTCCCCTCCCTTATAGCCCCTACTCCGTCACGTCGCGCTGCTCGCCTATCCGACCCGCTCTGTCCCCTGCAGGTGCTGGAGATGGACACGTACCGGTACCACGGGCACTCGATGTCGGACCCGGGCAGCACGTACCGCACGCGCGAGGAGATCTCGGGCGTGCGGCAGGAGCGCGACCCCATCGAGCGAATCCGCAAGCTGCTGCTGGCCAAGGAGGTGGTCACCACCGCCGAGCTCAAGGTGATCATTATTCACAACATCATGTAGGCCATCTCTGTTGCTTTCCAGTACCCTGCTTGCCTGCTGGCCAAGGAAGTTGTCACCACCGTCGAGCTTAAGGTGCCGCGCCTTCCATGGCGATGCCAGCGGGGCCCTGCTCCGAACTGCTCGCTTGTGCGCCCTGCCATACCAGAAGGTTTTCCGACTTCCCGTTGTGGCGTCCCCTGCATTGGTCTGTCTGGTAGTCCTCACCACCGCCGAGCTCAAGGTGTCGTGCCCGCCATTATGGCTCCTTGCGATGTCACATGGTGCCATACGCGCCCAGCTCCAGCTGCTGTGCGCGCTCCCTGGCGCACCATCGTGATGCCAGCAGCGCCCCTCATCTCTTGCCCTGCTCTTCTCGTCCCCCCCTCGTCCCCCCCTCGTCCCCTTCTCCCCTCTGCAGTCGCTGGAGAAGGAGGCCAAGGCGCTGGTGGAGGCCGACATTGAGAAGGCCAAGGTCAGAGCACCCACTGAGCACGCGCGCTCTCACTGTACCTGGATCTGCATGTAGAGTTATCCCGTCCTCTCACAGCACGTTGGCTCTGACAGTTATTTCTTCCTCATAGCACACTGCTGCACACGACCACTCCCAATCTCGTTGCTCTCCCTGCATTGGTCTGTCTGGTCGGCCTTACAGGCTGCCTTTCACACCAACCCGTATTCTCCATCCCTGTCATGGCCACACGACCACCTGTGCCATCTCCTCACACTCTTGTAACCTCTTCCAACTTTCCTGCTTCTCCACCCCCCCTGCTCTGCCAGGCATCGCCCTTCCCCGATCCCAAGGAGCTTTTCACCGACACCTTCGTCAACCCCAAGGGCACCGAGGTGAGCAACACACCACAGCGTGTGCTACTGACGTGTCGGCATGTCTCCCCCACTGCCGTTGTACCACACCCGCCAGCTCTTTCTATGCTCTCTTGGCCCATGTTACTACTCTAGGGCACAATAGCTTCCTTCATTCAATCTGGGCCTTCTTCTCACTGCGCTTGTTGCTCCGTGTCTCCCTGCCTGCAGTTCTACGGTGCTGACCGGGCGGTGACTCACGTTACATTGTGATACTGCAGCAGCTAAATCATTCGCAGATAGGTTTCTTGGGGCTGTGATACGGAAATAGTATTGCTATGACTCTCCATTATGCAAACCCCTGTACTACCGTAGCTGCGAATATTGTGTACTTCAACAAATATTAGGTGTCGAAGTAAAAATTTGTGTGTGCCATGGCATGGCTCATGCTGGAACAGTCATAAATGTAAGAATCATCTGCCCAAGTCGTGTCCGTGTGCCCAATAAGGAGTAATGGCCTTCCTCCTCCCAGCACTAGCCCCAAGCCCAATGTACTCGCTAGATAATGCAAAACCCTCTTAGCGGCCGACTAGTGCTATGGTCGGTGTCTACCTGTGGCCACAAAGCGAGCCAGGATGCTGAGAGGGTATGCGAGATCTGGACGAGTGCAAGTTATCAGGTACATTAGGCAACCCACCAGCTCTGCATAAGGACCACTGGGCTCTGCTGACTCCTCAGGAACTAGAGCTGAGAGTATGTGGTCTACTGGCAGAGGTGTGTGCTGTGTAGAGGAGAACTGAAGACTGAACCTCTGAAGGACCTGGCGCACCAAGTGTGACTGTGTGAGAGTGATGGTGTGCGTTGCTCTGTCCCTGGAGATATGCAGGCCAAGGTAGCGGCGCAGCTATCCTAGGTCAATGCAGGTGTATCTCTTCAGCAGCTCGGCCTTCACGGAGGCCAGCGCATCTCTGTCTGCAGTAGCTAAGGCCAGGTCGTCTACGTAGACAAGGATGTAGAACGGAGTCTGGCCAGCACGAACGAAGAGCGAAGGGTCGCAGAGGACGAAAAGAACTGCAGGTCAGCTAGCGTAGCACGCAACGTGTCGTGCCACTCACGGGGCGCCTGTCGAAGGCCGTAGACTGGGCGCCGGAGGAGCCACTGGGTCCCAGGAGGGAAGGTACCAGTGAAGCCCTGAGGACGGCGCAGGTAGACCTGCTCGTGTAGGCTGCCCTGAAGAAAAGCAGTGGAGAAGTCGAGGGAATGTAGCTCGTAGTCGCGCTGTGCCGCTACGTGTAGCAGCGCCCGAAGAGTAGTCATCTTCGGGGTCGGGGCAAAGGTCTGAAAGAAGTCCATCCCCTCTCGCTGACTGAAGCCCCTAGCCACGTAGCGCACCTTGAATACAGGCGGCTCTCTAGAGGGTCGCTTCGCCTTGAAGAGCCACCGGCCATCGACTACGTTCACCACAGGCGGGGGAACTGCGTCAACGTAGGTGTGCCGGTGGATCTCCAAGATGCCATCTCCTGCTCCATGGCAGCTATCCACTGAGAGGCCCAGGGTCCCGAGGTCGCCTCAGCGTAAATGCGAGGGGTCGGGATGTCAAAGGCGTCGGGGTCACCCTTAGGGACTAGCAGCATGGAACAGAGATGGGGAGCAGCCTCCGACACGAAAGCAAGCTCGTACTGCCTGTCCTCTAGGACGTCACTGCCAAGGGCAGTAGCACCCCCGACGGACGGAGGACGGACAGGGTCAGAGACCAGAGCGGTGGCTTAGTCAAGGCGGGGGGTAGAGGCGAAGTCAACGACAGCAGCGTCAAGAGCGTCAAGACTCAAAACAGGAACAGCCGGGTCAGTAACGAGGGAAGCAAGGACCCGAGGAACAAGAGGACGAGCGGCACGAAGGTAGTCAGACAGAGGGGGAGGCGCGACAATAAGTGACAACGGAGGAGGCGAAGGCAGGAGGTGAGGACGAGATGCGTGGGAACGAAGCAACATAGGGTGAGAACGCGGAGCAGGAGAGACAGGACGAGCACGAGAGAGACGGCGAGACCTGACGTGAGACGGAGGCGTCGGGTCAGGAGAGAGAGGAGGAGTAACAAGAGGGGAACGAGGTGGAAAACGGGCCGGGGACGAGTCCTGCGGAGGAAACACAGGGCCGTGGACAATAAGGGGAGGAGGCGGCGCGGGAGGCGCAGGCGAGCAGTCAGGGGACGAAAGGCCGAGCAGGCGAAGGGCGGACACCGGTGGCGACTGCTGCAGCTGCTGCTCGACGCCGACACCTGGACCGCCACCTGCACCGCGAATACCTCCGGAACACTCTACTCCAGCACCCCCAGAACGAGAACCCTCTCCAGCACCGGTGCCACCCCCGAGCCTACCGAGACAAGCCACGACCGGAGCCCCAGAACTAGCACCCTCCTTTACGCCAGCACCCCCCTAGTCCACGAACGGCTGCTACTGCTGCGGCGGCTGCTGCGGCGGCGGCGATGGCTGCTTCGGCGGCGATGACTGTGACGGCGGAGGAGGAGACACCGGGGGAGCGACAGGCGGCGAGAACTGCGCCGCAAGGCCACCAGAGTCAGCCGACTCCTCGACCGGGACAACCGACGGGAGGGGAGTGACGTGAGACACACCAGACAGAGCAGGACGGGGAGGAAGGGGAGTAGAGGCGATCGGGGGAGTGGGGACCAGAAACAGGGGTGGGGAAACCGGGAGACCTCGGTGGGGAAAGCGGTGGTAAAAGGAGACAGACTCGTCGAAAGTGGCGTCACGGGAGTGAAAGAAGCGGTGAGATGGCTGGTGGTAAAAGTGCCAGTCAGACGAGTCCGGGGGGAAACCGAGGAAGACACAGGGTACAGTGCGGGCAGTGAGCTTGTCCATGCTAGAGGCACGAACGTGAGCGAGGCAGCCCCAGACATGGAACGCGGACGCGTCACCAGGGAACCCGGTCCAAAGAAGGGTCTGCGAAACATGAGGCCGCTGGGAGCACGGCCAGATGTTAAGCTGGTGAGCGGCGCAGCGAACGGCGAACGACCACAGAAAATGGGGTGCACGGGCATGAATCATGGAGGTACGAGCCACCTCCATGACCAAACCGATGCGTCGCTCAGCGACCCCATTCTGCTGCGGGGAGTCTGGTAGGGTGTACGACTGGGTAATGCCCTCCGCACGACAGAGCTGTCCAAGCCGACTAGAGGCGAACTCGCCGCCACGGTCGGAGTGGAGACACAGCACAGGGAGACCGCGGTGGAGGCGCGCAGCTACGACCCACGGGATAAGAACGTCAGGCACGTTGGCCTTCCGCTCCAAGGGAAACACCGTGGTGTAGCGCGTATAGTCGTCAACGAGCACGAGAAAGTAACGCTCATGACGCGGTCCAGGGATGGGGGCTAGGCCCCAGGCGTCCAGGTGTAGGGTCTGGAGGGGTGCGGTGGCAGGACGAAGCCAAGAGGAATGAGGAGCACGGCACAGCTGGCCCTCAACGCAGGGCGTACACGGCAGCACAGGCGAGGGAGGGAGGGCAGGCAGCGACGCAGGGAGACCTGGGACGAGACCGTGCTGGGACATGTGATGCAGACGCGGGAGTGCGGGTTGACCTAGGCGGTGGTGCCACAGAAGGGACGGGTGAGTGAGCGACCAACACGAGCACGCAGCGGTGACCTGGGTAGACAAAGGTCCCGGGGAGGACAGTCCACCCGGGGGGAAGCAGTGTCCAGCGTAAAGAGGCCAGACACTAGGTCTCGGGGGGACGTTGCAAGGGGAGAACCTGTGGCGGCCTTGGTACAGACGGCGTACCGCTCGTGACCTGGAAAAGTAGTGGTGACCTCGAGACACGAACTAAGTTCTGGAAGAAGTGGATGTGCAGGCTTGTGAGAGAACCCGAGGGAACCGCTGGACAGGGAAGGGTAGTGTAGCTGCGAGCAACTACAGGACCAGAGCAGGGGTCAGCAAGTGTGACAGCAGCAGGTGCGGCAAGAGGCGTAAGCGCAGCGTGGTCGCGGAAGAAGCAGGCAGACGCACCGGAGTCAAGTGTGAAGGACAGCGAAGCGGTAGCGGCGGACGGAGGAGGAGCAAGGGTAGAGCCTAGGCTAGACAAAGCAAACGTTCCTACGCCTGACGCAACAGGGGAGTCTGTACTACACACAGGTGCTATGCCTAAGCTAGAGAACACAAGGTAATAAGATCCGGACACACTAGAAGCATCAGTATACAGAGAATGCAGGGCAGAACTAATCTGATCCATGTCTAACTCAAAAACAGGCACACCGCGACGCAGCAGTCTGGGCCAGTCAGGGAGGTCCGGGGCCGGGCCGAAGCGGCGACGAAAGAGGTCGTCGAGGCGGCGGAAGCAGCAAGTGGTCGGGTGCGGGCGGCAGCACACAGGGGCTCGGTCTGGAGCTGGTACTGGCAGCTCACAGCTCCGAAGCTGCCTGTAGATGCCGGCTGCGAGGGCCGCCACCATAGCCACCACCTCCATCTGCTCCTTGCCACCCCCTCGGGATGCGGGCCCATGGCTGCTTCTGCTGCTGCTGCTACGACTGCTGCTGCTGCTGCGTCGGCTGCGGCTGCTGCTACTCCTGCACACCAGCCCCAGCCCCCTCGTCAGAACCACTGTCCCTGCCACCACCACTACCACCACCAGCACCACCACCACGCCCTCCCTTGGGGCCACGACGGCCTCAACGCTGTCGCTGCTGCGAAGACACCACAGCTGCAGTCTCAGCGGCAGGGGCAGCCATAGTGACCGCGGCTGAAACGTCAGCGTACGTGCACTGGGAGGGAGCACAGCCTTGAAAGGTAGGGACTGTCGCAACACCGCTCGACTGAGCGGTAGTGCGTTGGCGAGTCTCTATCTCAGACAGGGCAGTAACAAAGGCGGTCTGGGTGAGGTCACCAGGGTGCTGGCTAAGGGAGTGGTCGCGGGCAGTGGCTAAGCGGTCCGGCACTCGCATGGGAATAAGGTACAGGGTAGCGAAGAATGGTGGGGGGAAGGCAGTGAGCCGGGCGGCAGTGCTAGCAGTGCGGTAGCTAGTCTCTAGTGCACGGAGGTGAGTGGCGAGATCAGCGACAGTGGGGAAAGCTGGAAGATCAGGGAATAGCATGGGGAGGATCAGGCGGCTAGCAGAGGCGGAGACGGGTGTTGAGTAGCGCTCAACTACTACATCTAGGAAATCCTTGGCGTTCGCGACAGCAGTGAAGCGCGGACGCTCAGACAGGGGAAAAGCATGACTAATGGTGAGCTGCGCGATGGCATCGCGGGAAGGTGGGGTGGTGTGGGTGGGCAAGGAAGGTATGCCTAGGTCAGGGTATGTCTAGACCCTGTTACGGAAAATCAGGGAAAGGCCTCAAATCCGCCTTGAACGAATCCGACAAAGGGCCGAACGAAACCCTTAACCATCACGGGCTAGTCCCGAATCAAACCTATAAAAGTCGGACCCTGACGGACGGCTTACCCGGAATGTTCAGGGCATTAA